GAACCCAAAGATCCTGATATCCTGAAAAAAGAGGGTGTACCTTAAACTTTAACTTTAAAAAATTCAGGGAAAAACAACAAGCTGATCAGATAGATAAATAAGAAGAGAAAAGATACCTTTCTGTAACTCAAGATGAAAGGAAGAACAATTACACTGATCAATAAGCAAAGAGTACAAGTTATAGTCAAAGTTTAAGGTAAAACAAACAGGAATACCCAAAAAGGGAGTTTGGAGAGAAAAACTCCTTTGAAACTGTAACCCAAGATCAAAGGAAGATCGTTACACTGATCAATGAACCCAGAGTCCGGATCCAGACACATCAACGTCATCTCTGCTTCCGATCTGTCTGCCCGGGGATCTCTCTCTACACCGCTTCAGGTGATGTTTTTTCACCGCTTCCTGATGTGTCTGCTGTATCTCCTGAGAGCAACAGATGTTCCTCTGCGAGATCAGTAACCATCTCGGGTTACTCCAGACAAGGATCCACTTTTTTACTCGCAGCTTTTTTTCTCTCATTTCTGTCCCTCCTTCCTGCATACCTTTCAGTACATTGTATACTTTGTGCAAATGCAATTGCAGGACAATGGTAATACCATCAACAAGGATATCAGATGCAACACATTTCTACCATCCCGACCCCCACTATCCCCTTAGATAAGCATGAATTATTGCTTTTCTTGCCTGGGAGCCACAGTTGCCTCCTATATTGTTGTTGATGCCGCAATGGCGCATTGTAAAATGCTATTTCCATGGAAATCATTTAAAATGCGAGAGTTTTCAGTTTCAATAAGACACTATTGTTGTTGGCAATCACAGAAAAAACCCGCTTAAAGAAGGAAGTTGTCGTCAATTGAAATCGAAGCAAAACATAAAGAGCTTATGAATTGGTCAAAATCACAAGTTATTTGTATTCAAAATGCGCAGCGGCTGCGACTGAGACTTTAACACTACAATAACTGCTTTAATTTATTTTACTTTTTGCGGTTGAAATATCAAAGGAAGATAATATCAAGTATCTAATATATTTGGTTAAGAATTGGTTTCCTGGAAAAAGGTTATTTTTATAGTGCAACTGGAGCAAGTAAACAAATTCCTGGAACTATTCTCATTGTTCATTAATTAAGCTTCGTAATGTCTTTGTTTCTACTGCAATTAATTGACTTTGTTTATTATTATTAGCTATAAAACTATGCAGGTTGGTGAAGGGAATATATCAGATATTTACTTTTGAAACTATAAACTGCTCTCAAAAAGGCAGCTTTTCATTTGGAATTATTTAAGTTATATACCATGTATATTTCTTCTATATACTTCTTCTTAGTTTTAATTTTATATTTTGTTGCCATGTTGTATTAACAAAAATCCCCCTTGGGGCTTTCTGGTGTTATGGTTTGCGTCTTTACTAAATATATTAAATGGGTAACGTCAGAAGCGGGCCGCGCACGCGCTCTTGGCCTCATTTGGCATGCCGGACAGGGACTGCGACTGCCACCGCTTTATGTTTATGGGGCTTCGAGTGCCGGGTTTCGAGCATTTGGTACCTGGCATCGGGCACCGGAGTATGTGACTGGATCTGGGCGTGCGAACCACTCCGTCTCATGATGGGCATTACAATCGGTGACTCCCATTGGGTGCGCACTTTCGGCAACGATGTACTCGTGGTCGGATTGCCAATTCTGGTCTCTGGGAACGGATCCCGGGGGAGACCCTATTGCCCAAAGTGGTCTACGTGATCCGCGGGACATCGACCATTAGCCGGAAGAGGAAGAGCTGACCAGGCCTGCCCACAGTGAGCCCTACGTTCAGGAAGTTCGCTGCTCGTCGACGTCGTCGACCGGGTTCAGTGTCCGGTTTTTGTACTTGAAACCCAAATTACGCAGTTCCCGAAATAATCACCCAGCCCAGCCTCCACCTCAGTGGGTTGTTTTTGGTTATTTTTGGGGTTGAAAGTACCGCTAGGCGGGCTCACTGCAAGTGCGCAAGTGGGCCGAAAATCCAAAGTTCCCCAAAAACCCGATTATGATGTCATCAGCGCGTCGATTCAGCGGGTTGTTTATAATTCCACTGAGGAAAAAAGGAGATATTTAATTAATAATAATTATATGATAAAAATATATTGTAATACATATATATCTATAATTTATATAACTAAAGAAGGTACCTATCATCTTTCTTTTAGGATATGTCTTGGAATAATTAATAAATATCAACTTCCTTAAGAACGTCAGATATTACAAAATTTATATCAGATATATAACAAAGCGGAGATGCTAATAATAAAATTCTCAGTGTAATTTGGTAAATTTTTGGGCTTAATAATTTCCGATTAGCATTAAGAGTTCAAGTGCTTGCGTCAAGAGCAATTGCATAAGAGCACAAAATTCATCCAGAAGATATATGTATGTATATTCATTGACCGATCAGTTACAGACTCTGTTCGCATTATTAAATTTTACAATAATTTTGCACAAGTTTTAATAGGGTTATAAGTAATTCATTAACTGCACAATTAGTTTCTTTTTGCTTTAGATACCTGCTGAATTCAAACCTTTCATCTTTAACCTACCTCATAAAAAACATATCAATTTTAAAATGTAACTCCTTTTTAATTTACCACATCTTTGTTTAATATTTGGAATGACTGCCTGTGGAAAATTTCCTCAAAAGAAGAGTAAACCCCAATTAAACGTAACTGAACCAGTTTAATTTAATTTATGCTCGTTAATCATCTTCGATCACCATTTAAGAATCAATGAAGTCTGAAATTTATTGTGCGAAAACACGATTTTCGAGGAGACAATGACTGCCTCTTCGAATGACATCACAACAAATCTCTGACTTACTTCAGGCACTTACGCACTGAATCGTTTCAGGGGGTTGAGTGCCTAAAAATAATATGAGTATTACAGTTTTGGGTGAATTTATTTTTTGCAACGGAGTCAGCAGGTTTTTTACCTTTGCCTTCTTAAAATATAAAATCGATCAAGTGTGAGTGGCAAATATTCCCAAAATAAAACACTAAAATAATCGTGGGTATTACTAAGGAAAGTAATTATGAGTTTTAATTTCATATTTATAGTCAGAAGCTTGGAAATCAATGAAGAAGTCATTTCCGACCCCATAAATCATATATATTATTGATTAGCATAAAGAGCTGAATCGATCTAGCATAGTCCGGAGACAAACTAAATTTTCGAACATTTTTTTAAATTTCTAATTTTTATAAGGGTTACACCGTTAAAATTGTTAAAAATTGACAAAAAATTTTATTTTGAATTAAGGATGCAGATTTGTTACCCTTATAAAAACTAACATAGGACAGCTTTCCGAATTAAAATTAATGCATTTTTGACTTAGTTATGATCATTTGAAATTTGCCTCCAATTGTCAACTGCATTGGTATCGGCTTCTTAATGTTAGCTTTCTTTCTTTTTTTTATTTATTGTGTGTTCAAATTTCACATAAACTTTGTTGCTTTAAATAGTGTGAAATTGATTATGGCCCAGTTTTGCTATCCCTTCTCTTCTTGATAATTTACTATATACTCTATCAGTCAGTATGCTTGTCAGATCTTGAAGCATCGATCCTCCTATGAATCTATGAAAACTAGTCTAATGGCTTACTTTGATTCAAGCAACTAAGAGTTTTCATTGATGGCTTCCATATAACCAACGGCGGGCATGGAAGTCGTTGGGTTCTGAGGATCATGATCAGCCAACTGTCTCCTATAGCTCGAATCTCCCTTACGGTGCAGTTACTCGAAAAGTGGCCTGGACCCCGTCCACCTGCCAAAAGGAGCTGCCAGGGATCTTCACCGATCTTTACCGGGCGAGGCACTTTGACAGGGAGCAGGGAGCTAAAAGAATATGGCAAGCGGAGTTGGACCCATGTGGGAATGGGACTCCGGACTAGTTAGACGTTTATGAACCAACTATTTTAATATTATTTATATAAAAAATTAATAATTAAAACTATAAAATATTATTATATATAAATAAAGGCAAAAAAGAAAAATTACCGAAGCCTGAGATTAAATAAAGTTTAAGTTTACAGTTTGGTACCAATTGCAATTGGTACCAATAATAATTAAGTAAATAAAATAATATTATTTTAAAAAATGGTTCTGTGATAGTTTTTAAAATTTTAATAATGCGTATTGAATATTAAATATTTTAAGAATTAAATAAACAATATTAAATTAAATACTTAAAGCTTGAGAAAAAATATAGAAAGAATTAAAAATTTTAAATTTTATCTATATTCTTTCTCAAGCTTTATTCACTTATCACATTAATTAGTCAAAATATATTTAAATAAATATTTAATAAATATTTTAAAATTAATTTATTAAAATTCATTAATTAATTAAATTAAAAACAAGACTCTTAATTTACTTTTAAAATAGCAAAATATGACGGACAATAAAAAATAAAATATCTCTATATTATTACGTTTAAATATATATATATTTTATATAAATACTTTTATATAAGAATTTTAAGGAAAGATCAGATTTAAAAATCTCATACTTAACCAAAAATCAATTAAATTCAATTTGGAAAGCTGTTCTGTGATAGTTTTTATATGGCTAACAAATTTGTATACTAAATTTTAGAATTCAGAAAATTTAATTTTTTGTCCATTTTTGACAATTTTAATGATGTAACCCCTTATAAAATTTTCAAAAAATGAAAAATTTTTTAAAAATTTTGTTTTCTTCCGGACATACCTAGATCGATTCCGCTGTTGATGCTGAGCAATAATGTATATGATTTATGGGGTCGGAAATGACTCCTTCGCTGTGTTTTAAGCTTTGGAATGCTTTATAATACCCTGTAACATATTAAGATTAATTTTGTTTATTGGGTTACTTGAATGTTGCGTGTCACAAGCTGGTTGCCCCATAGCATTTACCTTTTGTGAGTATTACTTAAACAGACTTTGAACTGCTTGCACTGCTTATTATTGGTTTTGTATCATAAAAGAGCTTCGGTCATACTATACAGCTGTTCAAAAAAAATAACACGCCTCGCAAAATAGAAACAAATTAGTCTTAAATTTAGTGATAAAAACAATTAAAATGGACACAGTAAAAGAGCTAGTACAATTTATGCAGCCCAATCAACGACTGGACCTCAAGGCAGTGGCCCTGACACATGTTTTAAGTAAGTTTTAAAAGAAAACAAAAGCAACCTGTCTGCACGTGCATTTGTTTTGACAAATTGTGACGTCACACCGGGAAAACTTAATAATTTTCCATTTTTAAAGGCTTAACTGGTAGCGAGGAAGGAAAATCCGCCATACTTTCGCTGGACGAAATGTTAATGGCGATATTTGGTCTGACCTACGACGATAACACCACAGTGGCCAAAGACGCAGTGCTGACTTTGATAAACTTGACCGCCGAGGAGGAAGGAGCCGTTCAAGTGTTCCAGCTGGCCAAGAAAGTGCAACCAGTAGGTTTCAAATACCTTAAATACAAATAAGAACCTTTTGTCTAATATATATTCCCTTTTCCTAGACATTCCCCATCGTGGACGTGGCTGCCAAGGCCATAACAGACGAGCAATCCGTTCTGGCTGATCCCTGGAGCATGGTTCTCAGCAATCTGACCCGCGTCGAGTCGCTGGTCCACGAAATTCTGGACATCTTGGAGCGCGGCGATCAGACGCTTCCCCGACTGGCCAAGGCGTTCGCTCAGCTGGACTACAACAAGAAGAAATGTAAGCTGCACTATCTGGCTCCCATTTTCTGCAACCTCACACAGGTGCCGCGCGGCAGGGAGATGTGTTGCCACAATCGTTACAAGCTGCTGGAGAAACTGCTGCCCTTCGCCTCTTTTGAGGGCAGTGTGGTCAGGCGAGGTGGCACCATTGGCATCTTGAAAAACGTCTGCTTTGATGCGGTCTATCACGATGTGATCCTTAACGAACAGGATAGCATACTGGTGGCCATACTGCAGCCACTGTGCGGACCTGAGGAGTTCAGCGATGAAGACAACGACAAGCTGCCCATTGAGCTGCAGGTGAGTAACTTTTAATTCCAAGGGATTCTTTGGAATTGTAGCATACTTTCTCACGACTGCAGTATCTGCCGGAGAACAAGACCCGTGAGGAGGATCCCGACCTGCGTAAAATGCTCCTGGAGTGCCTGCTACAGCTATGTTCCACCCGTCGCAGCAGGGAGATTCTGAGGGCCAAGGGCACCTACGAGATCCTGCGCGAGTTACACAAATGGGAGGCCAAGGTGGGCAGGGACAGCGATTGCCTGCTGGCCTGCGAGAACGTGGTGGATATCCTGATCAAGTAAGTGACTTTTATTAACCCCTAAACAGCCATAACCCACTTAAACCATCTTAATTTTCAGAAAAGAGGAGGAAATAGGTTTGGACAACTATAAAACCGTAGAGGTGCCGGCAGATCAGGCCGAGAAATTTGTGCAAGAAGATGCCGACTATGTGAAGACCTTGCTGGATTAAAGGACCGTACCCCCCCTCGTTTGTAAATACGCGTAGTTGTAGTGAAACTCATAGAATTTTCAATATATGTATGCAGTTTTTTATTCAGAAATGATGATAGTTTCAGTTGCCCAAAAGTGTTTGCTCTAGAAAAGGTCGTATGCACGCATTTAAATGCAAGAGAAACAATTTCGATTTTCAATTAAATTTGATTAGTTCAAGTAGCGACGTTATCTAGTTTATCTAATTACCGTTAATCCACCTCAATTGTATATATATAAAGTTTCTCCTTAAGTGCTAGATACATTTGCCTTCAAAAATGCTTAGCAACTGGCTTGCCATGAAACGTTTAATGTACTTTTGTGTTCTTTTTACAAACTTTGCTTGGTCGTTCATTGTGTGTATGTGAGAGAGGGTTTGATTAAGTCGCCTTTCTTGCTGGCCAATAGTGGATGCAAATACCTTATATATAGCAAGATGAATAAATGCCATATAGCTTTCAATCTCCGACTTTTAAACAGAATTTCAAGAGAGTTACGAATTCATAAAATCGTATGGCGATATTCATGTTGTTTTTATAAGGTCTTTGTTAGGTGCATAATGCTTTCGTATATTTAAATTGTTTGCTTTTGATTAGTTTGCGTTTAGTTTTGCGTTTGCAAGCAAGCGATTTCAGCAGAGAGAAAAATGTGAACCTGAATTTCGCATTCATTCAGTTTTATCAAAAAACTCCTCCACTTGTTTATACATAGTTGTTGATTTTTCATTTGCAGAAACCATTGCAAGCTCGCTTAGTCCGAAAAATGTTTAAAAGTAAGAGACTAAACACGAACCATTCCAACTAAAAATGTTTCGATACATCACCGAGATGTTTCGTTTTGCGTTTATCAAAATCTATTGCCGTCGATTCCCTAGCCTTTGTTTAGTTTGGTCCTATTGGTTCTCCGCCTGCCTTCGTATCAAAATTTAGTTAGACTTTACAATTAGGTAATTAGGCTACACGTGTAAGTTAGCGAGTTTAGAACCTAGCCGTTAATGAGAGTGGCTTTACTTCAACATCATTATTTTTTGGTTTTGTTAACTTAGAACTGTTTCCTGCATAATTGGGCGATGTTCGAAAACTGCGATATCAAGGTACTCGGAAGCTTTATCCCATGTTATTCCAAGAAATTTGTTTTTATATATATAGAACCGAAAACACCTTGGCAATCATTTAAAATAACCACTGAGATAATGAAGTTTTATGACCAACTAAAAACCGATTAGATCTCACTACAAGTTAATGAATTTATTTGTGATTAACAGGTAGTAACCGAAGCACTTATCTCGCCTCCATGCGACGCGACAGCACCTCGTAGGCAAAGATTTTCACCTCCTCGGAATCGTAGGGAATGTACAGGCAGCCGTGGGATGGATGCACCTTGCCCACGGTCAAGCTGCCGGAATGGTAGCCCCTTCCAGCATACAACGTCTCTCCATCGACATTCTGTCCCACGCGCACAGCTCCGTCCGGCACATCGCCGTTCTCCGCCGGCAGCCACTCGTAGTTGGAGCCGCTCAGGACCTCATAGTTCTCCAGCTCCACTTCCTGGTTGGCATAGGCCACATATGCCTTTCCCTTGTTGGGAATAATCTTGGCTGGCAGCATATCGTTGCAGTAGAAGGCACGGCCAATGTAGATGGTATCGCCATCGGAATCGTGGCCAGCAACAACGGCTGCCTGGGGGATAGCGCCGTGGCTGAAGTGAAGCCAATTGTGACCTGCATCGGATAGGGGAATGTGTCCTTTAATCAGAGGATTCCATGGGAATAAAGGTGTGCGCCTTGGGGCTTACCGTCCATGTCGTTAGAACTGCTAGAATGTACTAACCTAGTCTGATCGTAGCCGGTACTTGGTCTGGCGATATTGTTCACCTTATCGGTTATCCGGGCGAGACCAGATAACCAATCAATAGGTGATTCAATAAAGTCGGAAAGTATTAGTAGATGCAGACATACAGAAGTTGAAAAGAGAGAGAATGGTGTCATTTATGACCCACATTTATGGCTTGATTTAAGGCTTAGGCAGGTCCGGAATGGGGGAGTGCAGCCTTATTAATATTAACAAACCTTATTTTAAACGGAACAAGTATTAGGAATTGGTCAGCACTTGAGAAAATATTTTCATTTCCAAGAAGTAAAGCTGCTTATCTTTCTTGATAGAAACTAATAAAAATAAAGGTGACGTTGTTATGTACTTGAATTCTGTGAAGAGCGATCAATGAATAATATTATATTCTTTAAAAATAAATGAGGGAGTTAATCGGGTTCTTTAAAAATTAAAACTATAAATCATTTAATTTCATAGTAATTATTTCTCTTAGTTAATGTGTGAAAGATATTTTAACACATTAACAAATTACTAAAGTAAGCCCCCTTCCCTTGACTCGCAGTTTTCGTTTGCTAATTGTACCCACTAATTCATTTACACATAGCTATTTATAATTTATAATTTGCCCAAAAATTCAGCATTCGTGAAACATAATTAAATTTCAATTGTTGTATATGTACAATACTTTGTCTAGAGAGGCAACAAATACTTATATTTCTCTGTCGGGGTAAAACGCATCGTATATAAATCGAAAAAACACTCTTTGCGGCGACAGCATTTAAAGTCTAGGTTCTGTTCCTTAGAAGCTAAAAATAATTGCAATTAGAATTTGAATAAGGGTTTGCATGTTTCCTTTGATTTTTTACTCTCGAATGCTTAGCATCTAAATAGTTTCGTTCGCGTTCATCAATTATTGTTAGATAGTTGTTAAGTATTCATTTATAAATCACATAATTGCTTGATGAATTCCATAATGTTTGCTGTTTGTTTGTGTGTTTGTTAGTGAGATTGTGTGTTTGTTGTGTTGTGTTGAGTGTGTCCTGGCTGTAGTTGCTCGAGTGCGTTTACTGTTAGGTGCGATCCTAGACACTGAGAGATTCGTAGAGGAGGAGAGACGCCATAAAAGATAAGGATTCCCATTCCCGGGCAGCCGAGATGCCTTCCCGCTGCCTCATAGCTCCCATTGGTACTCCATAGCTCACTGGTACTGCTACCTGGTGGTGGCCACCAGCAGCACCGCCAGGCTGAGCAGGTGTCGCATCAGTGCCTCCAGGTCCAAGGGATTCTGACCCGGCCTCCTGGCCGAGTTGCAGGCATCCGCATCGCTGCAGCTCTGCAGGCAGCCGTGCACATACCTGCAACAAGGAAATGACTCTGTTAATGCTAAGTTATGGTTCTAAAACACAGAGAAAAAATATCAGGGTAAAAAGTTATGTGGTCAGAAATAAAATTACAATTATTGAAGCATATTTAAGGTTTTCAATTGATTATAAATTCTTACTTATCATCATAGTAGAACTTTCCGCAGTGCGACATTCTTATTATCTCAGTGTCGGTGGTCAAGGTGCCACTGTCCAGGGCGCAACCCCTCACTGTTATCGTCTCCCCGGTTTCATCTGCAGATAAATTAGAAATTAGTAGAACCAAGATGCAGGATGGGTCATCCATCATTTCACTTACCATAATAGCCGGCGATCTTGATGCAGGCGGTGGCCGGAAACAGACCATCCCGCCCCTTCCGACCGCCCATGCAAGGTGACTCCAGGATGGCCGTGGAGTAATTGTTGTGGAACGGATCATCGCAGGCCTTGTTGGCTCCATTATAGGAAACGCACTTGAAGCAGTCTATGCAGTAGCCTAAGGCAAGAAAATATTTTAATTAATTTAAATATTTAAATTAAATTAACCTCAACTTTCCCACTCACCACTTCGAATAAAAAATCCGAGCAGCAGGGCCAAAATGGCTATGGATTCGATAATTGAACTCGATGCCGCCATCTTTCAATCTCACTCAGCACTCAGACAGGACTCGCAGGACTCACAGGTTGACCAATTGCGGACATTCCATGGGCTTCATCTCATGCGGTGCGGTCTCTGCAAGGGAAGGGGAATCACCGAAAGGGATTAAAATTAACAAGTGAATTGAAGAAGCTTAAAAAGTTTTTCGATTTCCCGCTGAAAATCTCCAGCTCAGCGTTCTCCAGAGTCCATAAAAAAGTTGAAACGAAACGAAAAGTATAAACGAAGGCAATGGCCATAAAAATTATATCCACAATCCGCAGAAATGCAATTCCAGAGAAAAAATGACAAAGGAGCGCTTGGCCAAGGGACAGTCGGCCAAGAGAAATTAAAGGTAATAAATTGCAGAACGCACTTTTGACACAATGCCGCCCACTCTCTCTGTTTCTGTTTCAGTTTTATATATATATATTTTTTTTTTGTTCCATATTTTTATTGCCAAAGTGTAAATAATTGCTTTTCAGTCGATTTTCGTGTCGAATATTGGCCATGTGCTCCCCGAATTTCGCTTCGGTTCCCCCTCAAATTTCTGTTGCCTGTTTGTTGTTGGCACTTTTAATGGCCACTTCGTTGGCCCAAGGTGTTGTTGGGTCAACTTTTCCGGGGGTTGTGTTTTTCCTTGGCTTATTTTTCTTGTTTTTTGTTTTATTTGGGGTCCTCTTTGGGCCCGGAGGCAACTCGAATTATGACAAATGATTCTGACTTACGGGCTAAAACTGTAGCTAAGCCCGAGAAACACAATTTATGGGGGGGCCAGAGCGTGGGGCTTAAAGCGATTTTGGGCGTGACCCATTGCGGGTTTAAAGAACACAAAGTGGGGAAAAGTCGAAACGGAATTGCCCTGACAGATGCAATAATTCCATCAATCTCTCTCGCTTTTCCAAGCTATGCTAACGAATCTGTCATCATGACAGATAAATATTATCATTGCTGGAACTGAACTAACACCCTGTGCATAACCTTCTGGATCAATATTTATTGCAAATTATGGCACGGCCACACACTTTCCGTGTGGCCCACGGGGCGTATGTGCAACGTTCCTGGCAAACCGCAAGCGATGTGCATTAATTATGCGATTTTGAGTGTTTTGAGTGTTAGGAGGGTGTGAGTCGAGTGTGTCGGTTTGTGGATGTGGCAATCAGACATTTGCCCGCAGACATTTGTGGCCCATCCCGTCGAACTTCTGTCACTTGATTCAGATGGGTCTCCGGCTAATGTAATTAAGTTTCCTTATTAAACTGAGGCCGAGGTGAGTAACACAGTAACAAAGCTAATAAAGTCAGGCGCCCGTCAAGTTGGTGGAGGTGGTGAAGAAATTTATAATTAAATCCCAAGAGTTCCAATCAGCATCGAGGCTGCTGTGCCAGAGCTATAATTGTGCGGCACATTTTCATCTATTTGCAAATTAGCCACTAAGCAGTCGAACGAGCTGCCAAACATCATTTTCCCATACCACCTTCCGACCCATATTACCCTGGCTAAAAGCCAAGGGTGGCCGGAAACGGCATTCACTGGCAGTGTTGACGGAAACGGAAGCTGGTCTCCCCTCCCCTCACCCCAGGCCCAACCTCAGTCATTTGCCTCCCCACATTGCTCCTTGTCTTTGGGCCAAATGAAGTTTACCTTTTGTTCATTGTGTTGCCAGCGTTCAATATGCATCACTATCCTCTCGGTCTGTGCCCCATAAATTCTAGTACACGGTGGGAAAAGACTTGTAATTCTTAGAAGGTGAATTCTAAGAATGTAAGAAGAATGGAAGTTACTTTCAGAAAAGCCAAAGCTTGTATATTTTTGCATTCAGCCATAGAACCACTATATTACGAAATGTATAAAACATTTTCGTATCACTTTCTTTTTGGCTTTTTTATACCTCTAAGAACATTTAAAATATGTGTATTTTAGGTATGTTAAATCGATATTTTTCTATATGTTCATTTTTTTGGTAAATCAAAGTTTTTCCAATATCATAACTTAGCCAAATATGTCTTAAATTCAATTCGGAAAACGTTTCTATGCTAGTTTTTTCTCCGTTAACAAATCTGCATACCAAGTTTGATTATTTAAAACATTAAATTTTTGTCAAATTTTGACAATTTTAATGATGTAACCCCTTATAAAAATTTCAAAATTTGAAAAAAATTTCAAAATTTTATTTTTCAACCAGACATGGCTAAATCGATTCAGCTTTTGATTCTGATCAATAATATATATGATTTATAGGGTCGCAAATGACTCCTTGACAAATTTAGAAGCTCCAAGCTTCTGACTGAAATTATAATACCCAGAAAAGGGTATTTTATGGATTTATGGATACATTCTCAGCTTTTATTTTTCTTTTCTTTCTTGACAGATTTCTTCTCAGTGCCTGGGGCATTGTCTCTCACTTCCAGGCAGGAGTCAAAGTGGCCATTGTCCCCATTTAACGACCATCCATCCGCGCGTCGTGGAAAGGGGGGACGCATCCTTTGGCCCATGCTCCTTGGCTTGGCAACGTACTTACTTAATTTTGTCGCTTCGACTGGGCCACAATCGAATCAGCCACGAAGGCAGCCAGGCGAATAGCCGTCAACTTCCTCGGCCAGCTGCTGCTGCCACAAAAGTTTTATGACAAAAGCCAAGGGGGCAGTCAATAAAGGGCCCCGTGTTCCCCCCGTGCGAATGTGTACGGGCGAACAATTAAAAGCCCTCAATGTGGCCTTTCTCCTTTGGCAGGACATTAAATTAGTCTCCGCTGCGAAACTGAAATCTCCCCGACTCGACTCATGGATTGTTGGAATTTTTTTTAATAAAGTTTGTGCAACCTAATCGCGTATTCATGGACCCAACTTTTGCCCGTGGCGAGCATTAAAAATGAAAAATGAAGGCAAAGTTATCCCGGAATCTTCTCCCTTGACAAAGTAGCACGCTCAATTGTAGGCCATTAATTTCTTAATCTGCCTGTAAATGGCAGCAGTCCGGCCAGGACAAGGTGGAGTGAGCACCTCATTAGGCCCAGGGTCAGCTTTGATTGAGCGGCCAAAAACACCTAGGGGGAATTTTTGAGGTGGAGAATGGAAAACCCCGACTGCCTATGGAGTACTGCCTGCAGGTTATGGGGTACGATTTTTTGTCTCAGTTTGAAATGATTTATTATGATGTGGGGGATGTGAGTTAGGGCTTCCCATATGCTATAAGGCAATAATCAATCGCTTACACATGGTGGTTAAATGAAGAATGGGGTTTTTAGGTAGCCTTTTTGAAAGGATATCATTATTTTATATCCTGGCTGGCAACTCATATACTTCATTCCCTTCGATTAGCTTAAAGGAAGGTCTTTAGACATGGGAGAAAGCATTGTTATTAACTACAGCAGGTTCACATGTTTTTTGTTTACTATACAACAATAGTCATAAAATGATTAACCGGTAATACTATAATATTTAAGAGGGAGTTAACTCTTTTTTCCCAAAGCCTTATGGCTCATACCTTAACTTCCTTAAGAAAATTGTACTTTCCTCCCGAAATAAACTTTGTAATCTGCAGTTGCATACTTTGCCCTGACCCCAAATACTAACCCACACAAGGTAGTCATCCAGCCGAATGGGAGCTCACCTTTAATTCGGTTGCACCTGGTTCTCTCGAGGGGAAATTAATTTCACGCATCGCACACTCATACACACGGGTTGTGGCATACACACACACCCACACACACATTGGCAGACAAAGTCTCATTTGGGTTAAATTTGCATAACTGCAGCGTTAGTGTAATTTTCGCGAGGATGGAAAACTGAGAATCGCATTTGCAATTCGCCAGAATGGTGCAGTAGTGGCAGTTGCATTCGCAGTCATAACCCCCAGCAATGTGGCAATAAAAGTTGGATCTAAGCTGATTTTAGTGATAAAATTACACACTTTAAGTGGAAATATATGTGGGATCCGGTAGTGTTGGTAGGGTGGCTAAAGTTACCAGAAGCGGACTCACATACTAAGTCTCTGATTCCCTTCGATAGAATATACTGAAAGGGAGTAATCGATTGCAGATAAGTCTGGCATCTCCTCGCAAAGGCATTCGCCGCCAGAATCTCGTTTTGCTTGGACGTTCTAAATTAAGATAACCACGTTTTGTTAAATTAAGATTGAATTAAGTTACAAGTTACCAGTTAAATGTATTAAACAATATCATTAAATCAAAGCCGGTGTTACAACTTTCTAAAAGAGGACACTGCAATTTTAGGGGCTCGACCGAGGATATTGCCCAGCATTTGACAACTTGAACCTTAATAAAATATAATTAACAAAACACTGTGCAGTGAGGTGGATGACAAATTAAAATTTTGGAACTGGTTAAGAGTTCGGGAAAGACACGCAATTTGGTCAACGAGAAACATTGTGCAGTGAGGTGGATGACAAATTTAGAACATTTTGGAACTGGTTAAGAGTTCGGAAGAGCCACGCAAATTGGTCAACGAGTGACAGAGACAGCAAGGGACGCGCAAAGAATTTCATCACAAAGCGTAAGGAAATTCTTCGAAAGGCGGAAAGCAGACACACACATGGGCGAGTGAGACGGAAGCAGCGAGTGACGACGACGAAACCGAGTGGCAGCGTCTAAATGTAGATTGCATCGAATCAGGCTGGTAAAGAGCAAAGATTCAAGAAGCAGCGGATTGGCTGGAGAAAATAGAAGCAAGGCGAGGAAAGGCAAGACACTTGGTGGCGTTCGAGGAACACGCAGACAAGAACGTGCATGTCAAGATTGGAACACAGACTTGGAGGAAGAGAGCTGGAACACGAGGATCAAGCAGCAGATCAAGCTAGAGAAGATCAGGAGTTCGACAAGCAGAGGCGAAGCGGGATAAGGTGCGGAGCAGGAGCAGTAGAACATCAGCAGAACCTTATTGGCCATAGCAAAGGCATATGGTTTTGCAAGTCTTCAGAAATTGGATTCCAATTGGAGGCATTGCGAAGTAGTAGGTAGCTGTGTGAAGAAGAAGAAGGCGGTGGACGTGAAAAGAAGCGAGACAGCACGAGGCGAAACAGGGTCGTCGCAGGCTAAGTAGCAGTCTGATCGTATGTGTGAAGAAGAAGGCGAACGCTACAGAAGGCGGTGGACGTGGAAAGAAGCGAGACAGCACGAGGCGAAACAGGGTCGTCGCAGGCTATGTAACAGTCTGATTGTATGTATGTGTGAAGAAGCAAAAGCAGGACTGTTAGTTTGTTTACAATTGTATCGAGAAAGATTAGAGTTAAAACACAATTTTGTCATCATATTAACTGTAATTTTCAACAGGATATTTTTGTAAAATGGAGAGAAGCGAGATCTT